GAGCGGGGCCGCGAGGAGGAGGAGCTCCGTGGGGGAGAAGAGGAGGAAGACAGTGAGGAAGAGGAGGAGGAGTTGGAGGACGAAGAAACCGAAACAGGGACAACGGCTCTGGCGAAGGCCGACACAACAGGACCCCGGAAAGACGGGCACACGCGAAACCGCGAGGCGTCTTCGTCCTCGGAAGATGGTGGCACCCGGGAACCCAGCCCCGCGGAGCAGATGGTAGGTGGGAGTTGTCGGCACAGGATGCGTTGTTTTTCGGGGCCTCTTCCCTGCCCGAGATCTCTCCTGAAAGGGGCCAGCGGTTATGATGGCCGAGGTGCACCTTGCTCCTTGTTGTTGTGGGGCTGAAACGCTGTTAGGCAAAGGGGCCAGGGATGAATACCGGGTGCAGTGGAACGGATGGATCGTTCTTGGAAGCAAGAGGCTGGATGGGCTTTGAAGCGATGGAAATGCAGGTTTCCGTCGCCAGCTGCTGGGGTTGCGTTCCTGACAGTTCTCGTGGTTTGCAAGACAGAAGGTTTGTGGCAAAAATGGCAGGTGACGGGCTGATGCATGGCCACGGAAAACCGCGGTTGCCAGAATGGCACATGGAATATGAAGTGTGGATACTCAAACCCGTGGCTGGCAAGGGAAACCTGTAACATGGAAACAGACAAACAGGTAAAGGGAATGAAGTAGGGGAAGGAGTGTTATCCTGCATCTGACAGTGTAGGAGCTGGGCTTGCCTACTGCCGGCAACCTTGTGCTACGGGTTCTGGCAGCAGACAGCAGTCATCCAGGTCAAGTGCGCTGTGGGAAGGAACTAGCTGAATGTGCTTAGGCAGCCAGAAGATGCAAGAAAGCTTCTCTTCTGCCAGAAGGCAGCAGCCTGCTCTGCTCTGCTCTACCAAGGTGGTTTAGTCCTGCTGGAGGAAAAGCTCGTTCTGCTGCCACAGAGGAGTTTTAAATGTGAACTCACTCCACCCTTTGCCAACAGAACTGGAGCATTAACAAAGACTGGAACGTAACTTGACTGTGATCACATCAGGAATACGTAGCAGAGCCATGAAGTCGCTTTCAGATTGAAGCGTTACCTCCATCCAAGCATATCTGATTGAATCACGATGTTGCGGTCATTGTTTCAGGAAGCCAATAGAACTACAGTAGGAAGGGATGAGGAAGATCAACCAGATGGTGTAATCTTCCTCCTACAAAAGGATACAGCTGACACTAAATTGATGGGCAAGGTTCTTTGGGTAGATGTAATACCTTTTATTAGACCAATTAAGGAGTTGGCAAAAAGTTCTTAGCAGGCTTTTGGGTGCAATCACCCTTCTTGTTGCCTGAAGAAGGGTGATTGCGCCCAAAAGCTTGCTAAGAACTTTTTTCCAACTGCTCAGTTGGCCTAATAAAAGATATCACATCTGCTCAAAGAACCTTATCTGCCTATGTCCTTAGACCAACACGGCTACAACCGAAAACCCAGCACTAATAACACATTGGAGGCCAAGCACTTCGGAAGCCTGCAGCATTTCCAGTGACTAATGGGAGAAATGAACCTGGATTGGGATCTTGGTTTTAGCTAAGAAGTAGAAAACTGTTTTCATTTAAGAGGATAGATTTCTTTTTTTGCCGTTGGGTTGGCAATAAGCAAAGATGATTTTCTCCATGTTTCGTAAGTTAGCTCCTTTAGCATGATTTGTGCTATGTGCCTAGTGCTACAGTTAAATACATGCCGATTAGAAATAAACTTGTGGTATATCTAACAATTTGTCAGAGTTAGTGAAAAGAGCCACATTTATTCCAAAGTATTTGGATTTTTCTAATGCATCACTCTAATTTTTTCTTGGGACAGAACCTTTGCCCTAGTCCAACCAAATATGTCCCCCCTCAAGCAAGAGGAGCTGGAGAGAGAATGGATGACAAAAAAAGGGAAGAACTATTAAGACTGAAGAAAACAGTGAATGGTCTAGTGAACAGGTAATGAAATTCATCAAGTTGAATGCGTCAGCGTTGATAAGCTGTCTGGCCTTTTGCTACAGCAGCCATCATTCAAACCAAAGAGATGTAAATAGGACTTTCTTCTTGCAAACTGATCCCTTTTTTTTGACAGTTTTGAAGCCTACCATCCTGGAGATGAGTTCTTGTTTGTCTGTTGTTTTGCAGAACGTCTAGTACAGAAGTTGATACGTTTATGAAAGAAGATAGGTTTTCATTATATGCGATTGTAAAAGTTTGGCCTGACTTCTCCAGACCTTTACTGCCATGTGTAGGGCATGCATCCAGGGACATCAGTGAGGTTGTGCAGAGTTAAAAAAACAATTCTAGCATCAAACTCTTCATGTGTACAATATGAACATGGAGATAGGGGTTTTTAATTTTAAAATATTTAAATTAAGCACGTAACTTAAAAACTATGAAGACTGCTTGGCCTGAATCTCAGAGCTTTGCATATCTTGTACTATAGTTTTATTTTTTTCAATGGTAATGACTAGTTATTTCTTATTTGTGACTTTTAGAAAAAAGCATTTAACTAGCGTTAATTTTTGTCTGTGCCAGTGTTTCCAAAACTGGGTGCAATCTAGCTTGCATGCAGTCTGGCTGATCAGAATAAGATTGCTGTTGTTACACAGATAAATTTGCCAGAGTGCAAGATTGGCTATGTTCACGTGGCAGATATGTATTGGTCATTTCAGAAATACTGCTTGGAGTAAGGATTGTTCTTTATTTGTCTTCTATATAGCACTAAGTGCATTGCCAGTGCCTTACAAATAATAGTATTACTTTGTGCTTCATATATTGCATCTTATGAGAAGACTGGGACTTAATATTTGGTGTCTTAAAGAATTTAGTGAACAAGAAATATCAAAAGCCTCTTTCAAAATGTTTTCCCTTTATCATTAGGTACTAGTTAAATAAATGAGGGAAAATATAAAGGTTTGACGTGTGTTAAAAACAATATTAGGTGATGTGTATTGAGAGAATTGGTACAAAGCTAAAGAGAACTCTCAATTCTATTTCTTAATAGGCTGAGTGAACCCAATATGGCCTCCATAAGTGGACAATTGGACGAGTTGTACATGGCTAATAGTAGAAAGGACATGAATGAAACCCTAACAGATGTTCTTATGAATGCTTGTGTTGCTGCAACTGCAATGCCTGCGAGGTTGATGATGGAACATGTCCTTTTGGTCAGCATTCTTCATCATACAGTGGGAATTGAGGTAACTTCTTGCCTGGAGCCTGTTCTATTTTGTAATCATGTTGTTGCACTCCTTTTTCAAAGTGCCTTTACAAGTCTTGGGTTTCTGATTATACCTCATTGTATTGTATCATTGGCTGACTTGTGTGAAAGTAGTTGTGGGTTAATAGCCAGGAATTCATAGGTAAGAAGCTCTTATCTGTGTTACTTGCATATTTTCTTCTCTGTGTTTTTGTGCATGATCTTTATAAAAGCGCAGGTCGTCATTTCATTGAAATCTTTAGTACTTCTGACTTCATTTGTAGTGTTGAGAAATGTTCTGGCACCCCTGTTCTTGTATTTAATTAAAGTAATTCATTCCTATCCTGTGGCTATTTAAAATATTCTTAAATTCAATATATCAAATAACAGTGTTGAGTAAAAATTAGGAAGTCGTTCAGCGACAGCACTTATACATTTAAGTACCAGTGCTAAATCCTGCTCCTATGTATAGTCTATGGGCTTACGCAAATGTTTGCCGGACCTTCAGGACTTTGTAAAGTACCTTACAACTTTTTGATAGTTTGGTATATTTTTAAGTTTGCAGATGTCAAGATACAATTAATTTTAGCTTTGCCTACTAATGTGAAGGACAAGTTAGAACAGGTAATGCCAAAGGGAAGTCATTATAAGAGTTTAGCTAATTCTGAAACTTCTGCCAAGAGACAATGAGGTGTTTCAGGATGCTGTTCCCATAAAGCTGTATTCTAATTATATAATGGTAGAAACATGATTACAAGAACCAATTAATAAGATGCATTACAGACTCAAGAATTATTTTAATATTGGTATGAGTGAGGCTAAATTACTTCTATATTAGCTGTTTTTGCAATCAAACTAGTATCAGCTGGATGTAGCTTTGTTACCTTTTCTCCATGCAACCTTTTCATTATGATGATCGTTTTTTATTCCTACTTTTTACTTTAAAATGATAAACACCCTTTAAAATGTTGGTGGTGATTTAATGAAACAATCTTTGTACAAGCTTAAAATAACTAGAGGTGCACCGATTTATATCCGTGGTATACAGGATCAGCACTGATAAAAGGAAAATTTAACATTATCGGCAATCAGCTTTTTTGGCTGGTGTAGCAGATAATGGCACTGATAAATGCAGTGTACATGCATGCAGCTGCAATGCATGTGGCTAGGAAAGCAGCCTGGCAGCTTGGAGAGCAGTATCCAGCTGTTAAGTCTGTGGGGGAGGAAGGGCATGGTGCAGGGAGGAAGTAGATTGAGGCCCCCACAATGAGGGAGTGTGACAGGGGTAGGGGTAGTCGCTGCCCAGCTGGGGCAGTGAATACAACCCCAGAAGTTGGACAGAGTTGTGGGTGGTTTGTCCATGGGGGATGGGGAGGGCTTCCCGCTGCTGTTCACACACCCAGGGGACATGTGCCTGCCCCCCCCCGCCCCCCCGAGATTTCTGTGTAGGGCAAGGGCGCGCTGCGTGCTGCAGGGTCAGGGCCAGGGGCTGCACCAGCCTCTTCCCAGCCAAGGCTATGCTGGGAGGGGTGACTTTTTATAGTCTATGGCCACCCCAAAATTCCCCATCGCCACCCTTTCCAGCATAGACACCAACTGCCCCTTCTCTTCCCCCTGTCCCTTCCCCACAGCCTTACTGGCTGGATGCTGTTCTCCAAGCTGCTGTGCTGCATTCTTGTAAATCGGCTGTCGGGTTGGTATCAGCAAGTATGGCTGCTTAATAATCAGCCATCGGTATCAGCCAAGATATCTTTATTGGTGCACCCCTAAAATAACTCTGCCATGTGCCAGAGACTTTAGTGCACGTTTAAGAATTTAATCGTGACTGTCTAAATGCATTATAAAGCATAAGCTATTTTGTTTTTTTAAAAGTTTAGAATATAAAGTGTACAAAACTATGAGGAAACATTAAGGCTACAGTCAGAATTGATACAGGAGATGCAAAAGTTAAGATTTCTATAGCAATCTTTAAAAGACTATGTAGCATGTGTGTAATGTTTTTGTTGTTGTTGAATGCACAGGTAAGTATATTGCTGTATCAGTGGTTTTCAACCCGTGGTCTGTGGACCCTTGGGGATCTGCAGACTATGTATAAGGGATCTGCAAAAGATGACTATGAGCAATCAAAAGCATGTGAATACCTGCACTTATCATTCAAAAGGATCCACACCTCCATTTGAAATGTTTTAGGGGTCTGCAAATGAAAAAAAAAAATATTTGTGATATATTGTTAAATGTACTCCTGAAACCATCAGGAACGTGAAATGCAAGCAAGTCAGAATTGCTTTTGGAACATAATGCATTTTTTTAATAATTATAACTGCAATATTGGCATGGAGGTATTATGTGTTTTTTAATTACATAACTTGTTTTTTAAAATGAATAGTTGACAAGTAATCGGTGCACAGTTTGAACTAAGATGTTTGGCATATCTCTTTTTCAAAGAATGTAGACATAATATTACTGCTGATGAATAAAGAGTCAAGGAGGTATTAAGTTATCCTGGGATCTTTTTCCAGTTTAAACATATTCAGCAATTAGTTGAGTTTTATCTCCAGTTTGAAGTCAGCTAGTAGTAATGCAAAATTCTCAACTACAAGCTGAGGAAAAAAATGTATCTATTTTATTAGGCTTTTCATGGCAAATAATTTTAATTTAAAATATTGGGTTTTGTTTGCTTGTCGGCCTCTTGAAGGCTCAGATCAAGTGTAGTATTTTTGGTACTGGACATATTGTCTTTCAGTGTACAAATTACTCGGAGTAAAAAGCTGCATTAGCTTGGCATCTGGGAGCATGCTAATCCATGCTGCAGTGAGTAATATTTCCAGTCTCTTTGTTTAAACAAGTATTTTTGTAGTTGCTTATTTACCTTTGTTCATCAAACAGGTCTGGAAGGATAACTGGGCTGCATGTGTAAAAATATAATTGTCATATGGCAGTGGACAGGATGTAAATAGTATGTATTTTAAGAAAATCTGTAATAAAAATATAGTGTATACTCTCTTTTTTTATTATGTTGATATTTAAATTTATGCTGGAGAGGTGCAGCAGCATTCTCCAAGGTTAATTGTTGGTGTAATTATCAGCATTTATGCTTTTGCAGCTGCTGTTTAAAACAAATAATTGCATGCATGCCATATGGTAACTTGCTGGTAATATTTTTTTCTTTGCCAGGTTGGTGCACACTTTTTGGAGGCAGTAGTAAAGAAATTTGATGAACTCTATAAAAGTGAGGCTGAAGGGAAAGAATGTGAAAACCTCTTTATCTTGATTGCCCATCTGTATAACTTCCATGTCGTGCATTCACTGCTGATCTTTGACATTCTGAAGAAGCTTGTTGGCACGTTCACGGAAAAGGACATTGAATTGATTTTGCTGCTCCTGAAAAATGTGGGCTTTTCCTTGAGGAAAGATGATGCCTCTGCACTGAAGGAACTGATCAGTGAGGCTCAGAACAAAGCAAGTGCTGTGGGGAAGAAATTTCAGGACCAGTCCAGGGTATGAATACATTTGGATACATAATAGGACAAATTTTCTTGTGTAGACACAATTCATTGAAGAATTGGTTAAATCTTTTAAATTTACCAACACCTTCAATTCATGTTAAATTTGTCAGCTAAGGTTCTTCGTTATGTTGTCAGATTAGATCTTAAATTAATATTGCATTAACTTCTGTTTTTGTGTACACAGAGAAAAACATACAAAGGAAAGTTTGTTTCCAAAATACAAAAACCAGCATGATCTGAAATAACTGTAACTAGGACTACATTGTTTTGCAAAGGTTGAGGGTATTCAGTTCATTATTCAATGTTGTTTGACTCAAAACCCATAATAAGCAGAGGTATGAGCCTAGCCTTAAAACAAATGGAGGCAATAGTACTTGAAATGAATATTGTCTCTTAGCCAGAATTTTATATGTGCATATATGTAATCTAGATTCCAGAATGTATTGCAGCCAAAGTGCTTGTGTGTGCACAGTAACACGTTCCAGGTAAGTTTTGCACTTTTAATGACCTTTTTTCCAACACCTAAGTCATCCTGTTGTTTTTGTTCCCTCTGTAGGTTCGCTTTATGCTAGAGACTATGCTGGCACTCAAAAATAATGATATGCGGAAAATCCCAGGTTATGACCCTGAACCAGTTGAGAAACTGCGCAAACTGCAGAGACCGTTGGTAAGGATTTTGTTTTTGGTATCCATACTACAACTGTTCCTAAGTCATACCTTCAGAACTAACTGCAAGACCCTTTTTAAGGTGATGCTGACATACGTTCCAAAGTGATATGCACATAAGGTTTAACATATGTAGCATTATAGGTTGCATTTGTGAAAACTCTTTTGTCCTCATAAATCCAAATTATTTTGGACCTTGTATTGTGTTGAACTACTGCTTTTACACCAGTGTTTCCCAACCTTTTTTGCCCCACAGCACACTCGCCTAAATAAAAACAAAAAAGCACCATGGCACCCCAGACATGGTGCAGGGGGGTGGCGTGTGGCCATCCAGACACCGGAGGGAGGGCATGGTGCATGGCTAGCTGGATGCTGACGGGGAGGGATGGTGTGCGGCAAGCCAGACGGCATTTTGGACTGGAGCCATGCTCCCTACCTGGCTGGAGCCATGTTCCCATTCTGTCTGTGTCCGTGGCAGCAGCAGGCAGGGGGTATGGCGCCAGCCAGATGGGGGTGCGTAGGTCCAGCCCAAAATGCCGTGGCACACTTGGACGTGCCTGATGGCACACCAGTGTGCTGTAGCACACCAGCTGGGAAACACAGTTTTATGTCACCATAGCTATGATGGCAGAACCCTGTAGTGGACGTATGACAGATGCCAACAGAAGCAGTTTTCTGGTGGCATAATTCACCATCCCATAAATGACAGAGCAAAGTCCGTTGAAGTGTTCTGTGTTTTTGCATCCCCTAGATGACAAAACTGCAGTGTAGAGCAGGTCAGAGTTCACATCCTGAGAATACTCCTGAAATGCAGCTGTCTAGGTGTTAGTATCCAGTTGCATGTTGCTAAACAGTTAGAGAAATGAGGGAATTTTTTTTCCAAGGACACTGAGGGGAAACCCACAGGCTTGCAGAAAGTGGTGTAGGATCCTTTAACATATATGCAGAGCAGGCAAGTTGTCATGTCAGAAACTGCATTTATCAAAGCTGAGGCTTATCCAGTTAACCGGCAGCGCTTCAGAAGAGTGGATATTTTTCTGAAATTTGTGTCACTATAATATGCAAAGTTAGGAATTTAATAGATTGCATCTAGGCATGTTTTAGGCGGGTTCTGTAGAGCTTTTTGTTACAGTTCTGCAAGTGCATCTTTAAAACCTACTTATAACATCTTTTCCCATCTATTCCTTATCTCCTACTACCGCTAATTGTACTGAAAGTTTTGTTGATTTCATGAGAGCAAAAATGTGCCATAGAAAATAAGAGACTGCAATTAATTTTGAATTTGTAACTCTAGATTGGAATTTAAACCAAGGCCTTTATAATTTAGTGAATGAGGATAATCTGCTGGATTTCTCTTTTGGTGGGTGTTCATTTAAAAAAAAAAAAAAGAAAAAGCATGAAGTCCAAAAATACAGATTTAAGAACACACACACATATATATATATTTTTTTTTTAATTTAAAATAAATGGAATTGTGTAGATTTTGTCATATCATAATTAGAAGGAAAAGTTATGGGGAGGAAGATTTGACAGCACAGTAGGGAGACTTTTTAAAACTGGGCTTTTGATCTAAAATCCTTTAGGTTAAAAACCTGCTTGGAACTGAAAGCTGCTCCTGTTGTTTTTGTTGTTGCACAAGGTTCACAACAGTGGTTCTGGAAGAGAGACTCAGCTTCGTGTATCATTAGATTCGCTCCTCAATGCTGACCAAGTTGGTCGCTGGTGGATTGTAGGGTCATCTTGGAGTGGAGCACCAATGATTGATAATGCCAACAACAAGACTCAGCAGCAACTGCCTGTTGGAAAGGTACATATATAGACATGCTATTAATTAATGTATATATCAATATATTTTTTTTGTCCTTGGGACACGTGAACTGGCCTCTCAAGCCTAACAGCGTTTTGTAGAACTGAGCCTTTGGACTGTAAGATTCATCTTGCTAATTTGTAAAGCAGTGCACATCTATGGAGTTTATAGAAGCTCTATGTGACATCTGTCTCTTTCTAATACGGTTTGTGGGGGTCAGATTTCTGTTTGCCCTGGCCCTGAAATTGTCTTTTCCACCTTCTGAAATTACAGAGGATTTCTTGGCTTTTTGACATGTAAAATGAGAAAAACAGGCACCATCGAAGAAGGATTCCAGGACTTTGAGTAAGGTCCCTTGTTCCTAGGAGGTATATAGTTAACTTATTTTTAAAGTGGACAAGTGACCTGGCAAGAAGAGTACAGCCATTTAACTTAGATTATAGACCAAGGATAAACCTAAAACTAATTGGGCTAAAAAGGTTGAGCACTGAAGAGGTAGGTATTTGAAAGTAGAATAGTTGTAACGCTTCTTCATCTAGAAGTCATTCTGCTGCTATTGGGGCAAAGCTAAATCACGTATAAGGGCAGCAACTTTATTTTAAAGTGGGGCAGCTGACTTGCTACTCTTTATCCTGTTCTTATATCCATGGCCCTTAAAAAAGCCCTTCTAACTCAACTGATTTTTTTTCTTGGTAGAAGGCCAAGCCATAACAATTCTTATGTTGATCTCCAGTGATGAAGGCAAAAGGCCTTTGAATTGTTACTTCATAATTCACCCCAAATAATCGGTCATGTTGGAGAGATTGCAGTGGAAGTATTTTTCTCCATCATGTCTAAAAATGAAATTTCTTTTTAGGTGAGTTCAAAGATACTGGAGCTTGCTCGTAAGCAGAGAATGAACACTGACATCAGGAAAAATATCTTTTGTGTCTTGATGACTAGCGAAGACTTCTTGGATGCCTTTGAAAAGCTTTTGAAGTAAGTACAAAGTGGGAAAGTTGCTAAGGGTTGAGGTGAGGATGGAGTGAAGAACCATCAGAAGCAAGAAGTGATGACAAGGAAGCCAAGCAGTGCTGTAGAACTAAACTACAAGTCAGGGAGTAAGGAATGGACCAAAATATTGTTAACCTTCCAGGGAGCACTTTAGAAGAAATGGCTGTGACCAAGGAGCTGTTTTGGACAAACGTCACTTTGAAGGTGTTTCTACTAGGCCTGTGTGAAGCAGCTAGTATTCGCTTCGGATTTGGCCGATTTCAGGGGACAGTGATTCGATTTAGTGATTCAAATCACTGTCCTGAATCGATTTCGGCCAGGTCTGATTCGGAGATTTGGCTGCTGCCGAATTGGCCAAATCTCCAAATCAGACAGGCCCTATCCCTTGCTCTTCTCCCAGCCCCATCAATAGCTGGCCCCAGCTTCTGGCTCTATTTACAAAAAAAAAAAAAAAAAAAAAAACAAACTTTCACCTTAGCTCCGGCCAGGTTGGTGTGTGTATGTGGGGGGGGGGGGGGGGGGGATCCCTGCTGTACCCTGCAGCCCCACACTGCGTGGGGGCTCTGCCATGAGCCCCCCTCGCTCCATGGCTGTCCCACCTGGCCCCAGCTCCTGGCTCTTTTTGTTAAAAGCCCTGACTCGCTGGCTCTTGCCAGGCGGGGGTGGGCAATCCCTACTGCCCCGCACTCTGACACGAGCCCTCAGAAGCCCCCAGGCCGCTGCAGCTGCCGGTGAGTAGGGGCTTTTTTTTAAAGCCAGGAGCTGGGTGCCGAGTGGGGCAGCCATTGACAGGGCTGAGGGAGTGGGCAGGGGGTGGGGCTGGTGGAGGCTGGTGGGGGTCCCTCCATGGTCCCCTCTAGCCTCTACTTACCAGCACAGAGTCTGGTCCAGCTCCCTGCAGCAGCGAGCGGGGACTGCCCGAATCTCTGAAGCTCTCCATATCTTTTTTGAATTGATTCGAACTTTTTTATTGGTCTCCTGATTTGATTTGGCCACCGAATCAGGCCAAATCTCCTCTGAATTGAATCAGCACCCAAAGCTTCCACAGCCTTTAATCAAAGTGCTAGTAGGGACTGAGAAAGAAAGACTGTATCTGGGTTTTTCTCCTGCTGTCTTATATTTTTAAGGCAGCTGTCTTTGTTAGAATGGTAAGCAACAGTTTTAATTTATCGACCAAATCAAAATAGGCTTGTTAGTAATCATAACTACAATTTGATTACTTGCTGCTTTTGCAAAACAACTTGATTTCAACTCTAAGATGTAGTTATTCCAGTGCTTTGATGTGGCTTTTTCACTGCAGAAATTCAGCTGCTGCCAGAGGCCTACTAGTTCAGTTGACTTGCATCCTGGTTATTTGAGCACATGTATGCAAGCCTGTCTACCCACAGACTTGGCTGATTTAACAACTGTATTTGAAAAATATCTCGTACATATTAAATAGCCTGATATTTATTCATTGGTTGGAGGGGGAGGTGTTTAAAAGATGTAATCAGCCTGTAACAACAGCATGCTTTCCAGAATTTGGGGAAATTCAGATATTCTTGGGTTTCATAGTGGTCTTTCAGGAAGCATGTGAGAAGTGCATGCAGAGCTAAGCTTTTTACTATGCTTGTGATGCACCCGCTGGTAGGTCTGTCGGCAAACGAGACTTGGTGTACAATAGATTTATGCAGAATAAAAATGTTCTTACTCTGGTTATATAAATTGGGAATCTGAAATACCTAATACTGACCTACACAGAATTATAACCATTCCAGAAGCTGTGGCAGTCAAGGTAGCATAACTCCACTGATAACTTTTTGGCCTGAATCTACATGAAGTAGCAACGAACATAGCCTGTTTTGACTTAGCCCAAACACCTTTTAAATAAAGTAACCCTTTTTGTCATTGTGTACTACATTACTGACAACTCTGTATTGAATATAAAAAACAAAACTGTAATTGATTCTAAAAAGTGTTTTCAAAAATTTCCTTTGAAATCTCAAAGGGAAAGTGGCAGCAGCAAGCTGTTGCTGATGTTACCTGGGAGCTTTTTCAGAGCTAAGTTGCCTGCAAGCTGGGATCCTAACATGAAGGCATTTTTAGAGAGAGAGATACAGAAAGAATGTCTTATTTCATGGTGGATGGAGCAGCACAGTATCTGCAGCTGCGTTTTCTTTTATAGAGAGACTCTGACACCGGAAACTGTAGAAACTAGGAAGTTCTATGCTGGAACTCGCAGTAGTGAAAGACCATTCTAGGTCTTTAAAGAGCAAGATAGCAGAAAAATAAGGTGTGTGCGTGTGTGTGTGCTTGAAGCTGCCGCTGAATGTAGGGGTGCAGATTTTCTAAGATAATCCGAAACCACCATCCACTCACTGCTAAGAAACTAGCAATGTACAGTGGCAACTGAACAAATGAGCAGTGCAAAGAAAAGCATCTGAATTGGGGATTAATTCTGGAATCTCACTTAAATTCATTAAGCAGGCTTCAAATAGCCAAGCATTAGAATATCTACATAAAGCTGTTAACCACTAAACAGCAAAATCGGGTAAGACTGGGGTAGTGTCGCTCTGGTAATCAAGTCTAAATACCAAACTGGGCAATGATAATCTATTCTATTATTTTGAGAATTGGACATGGGCAACTGGTGCAACCAGTCAGTGACTGGGGGCATTGCCCCGCAGCAGCCACTTCTGGGAGCGTTACTCCCCAGTTGGTGCTGGGGGGGGGGGGGGGCGGTGCTCCTGCCTGCCCCCGCCTTCCCTCCCCCTGCACATTGCCTAAGTGGCAAGCGTGGACAGTTAGGGGGTGCACCAGCACACTCAGGGATGCATATGCACCCCCTACGCTTCGCCACTGGAATTAGAATATTTATTTCAGTTAGCCTCTATTCTGTGTTAGCCTCAGCCTGTTGGTATCAGTGGGATTTTAATTTGTTTTAAAGTGAGAATAAAAGTAAGCATCAAGACTAGCAAGAGCCAGATACATTTAAACAAGAGAATAAAAAATTAGCACTATTGTAGTGACACAGACCAGGAAAAGTAAAGAGTGGAGAAATCAATTTAGGCAATTATAGCAACAACAAAATTTTGCTATAATTTACTCGTGAGATTGAGACTGAGACTGTAGCCTAAACAGTTGGCCCACCACATTTTCATGTTAGACTATTAAACTTGGTGTTTTTAAGGTCTTATAAATAAAAGTTTAAAAACAATTTTAGATTTGTGTTTTATAAACGCCTAAACCAGGGGTGGCTAACATGCAGGAAATGCTGCGAGTGACTAGGGTGGCCATCGTAGAGAACAGTCTGGTTGTCTTCTGTCCTCTGTTGATACGAAACCAGATGTCTTTACGTTCTCTATTTTTCTCTTGAAGAAATAGAGGACATAAAGGCATCAGGTTTTATCTTAATAGAGGACAACCGGACTGCCCCCTACGATGGCCACCCTACAAGTGACAGGGGTAGCCTTTGTGTGTGGCACACAGCAGATCAGGGAAGAAACTGGGAACACAGCTACTGATAGGGCAGAGAACAGAAAGCAGGTGACCAGACCAGGCAAGAAGCCCACACTGGGGAGCATAAAGCAGAGCAGTAGGTTGGCTAGGGGAGAGGGACCAGAGGCGTAGAGCTTACCTTTGAAAATCTGTGATGCATGTGTATACAAATACAATGGCAGGGACCTTGAAATTTATAAAGCCATCTGAGATTAGACTCCTAGCAGTCCATTACCTTGAAATTTACACAGCCATCTGAGATTAGACTCCTAGCAGTCCATGACAATCTCTGCGTTCTACCAAGTATTGAGGAAGATCCCAGGGATTTTGTATTCTTAATGGAGGAAGATAATACAGGTCAGTTGCAAAAAAATAGTCCAGTCTTACAGCAATGCAAAAAAAGTTTGACATTTCAGATTAAAATATTAATCATTTTACTTTTTAATTGATGTTAGTACTGCCAAATACTTGGCAGTACTGGAAACTAAATCATATTTATTCACAGAATAGGTGCAGTGTGAGTTACTGTTCCTTGCCAAAGTCCCTTAACCTTCTTTTAGATGGGCATTGGCCTTTCTGCTGAGACAGCCAGCATGGGTGCCAATTAGTACTGATTGTGCTACTGCAATTATTATTGCTTTTCTTAATGTGGGTGCCATCTGTTAGGACCTGGACTGAAACAGTCAAACTCATGTCACTTGGGTCCCTTGGTTGTCACTCAAAAAAAATGGTTTTCTGTCTCCAACCAAAAAAAGATTGAAGATATATAGTTTTCTCATCTGTAGTTGAGTTTGATAAAATGTCTCTTCCCAACAACCTTGGCAATGGTCAAGTAAAGGCAACCTTTCCCTCCCCAAACCATGGTTGAGGATATGACTCGATCTGAGGACCCACAGCTTTTAGCTCCCTCTTTGACCTCCCCTGTGAAATTTACTTTTTCAGGGCTTCAGCTCTTGCTTTCTAAAGGTTAAAGAACAATCTGGCTGTAATTTGTGCCTATTCCTCAGTCAGCAAACATAGACCGCTGCATTTCCCTCTTTAGAAGCCCATTGTGTTTGTCATTCTCTATTTATCCATTGTTGTTTGTGTCCTTCAGTTGCATCTCAATGACAGCACTTGCTGCCCACTGAGGATGTTGGGTTGGCTTATGCAGTTGACAATTTGTTTCAATTTAAAGCTTTTAGGATTTCATTTCTGTTGCAACAGAGTAATTTAATTGATTCTGAGGAATAGCCAGCGACTCTTACTTCAAGGCAGTCGATATTTTTAAGCTCGATGAACTATTGTTGTTCTCTGTTATTGAAATTGCAGACTGGGACTTAAAGATGAGCAGGAAAGAGAGATTGTTCATGTTCTACTTGACTGTTGCCTCCAGGAAAAGACATATAACCCCTTCTATGCATATTTGGCTGCCAAATTTTGTGAATATGATAGAAGATTTCAGGTAAATAAAAGTTTGTTCATGCCTCATTATGCCACCAAAATGTGGGATTTTTATTTATTTATCCATCTAAAGTTTTCCATTGTTGGTATCCACTGTCAGGTTTATCATACCAATCTCTTTCGTTATGTAATAACACAAAACAGCTCTTTCTGCCTAAGCATGCCTTTAACTAAAAACCTGCTACAAGGTCATCACGCTGTTCCATTGAGATTCCTTTGGCCAGAAGGCCCAGTAAGCATGTAACATAAACTAAAATAAGGAAACTGTATGTGATGTTTTGGGAAACAAGTGTGTGAAAAAGACCCCTCTTGCACTCAGCATAAACCACTGACCCTCTGCCACCCAACAGCTGTAAAAAATAAAAAGAATGATGTAGTAGTTATAGTTGCTTCTCTTTTGCTATTGAAACTACAAGATTGCTGGGTTTTCTAAGCAGCAACCATAAACTGTACTCATAATTGTAGATGTTTCATGCAGACTTGTTTCTCTTGGTGCTTCAGCATAAAAGCTGAAGAAAAAAAAAACCTACCTGGGTGATTTTTTGTGTGCGCACAGTTCCTTTTTTGAATACTTTTTTTTCTGCTTTGTATGCAGATAATTCCAAAATGTTTCACCAATAGAATATACAAAGTTTGTAAGGCTCCTAGACAGCTACTTCTAATGCATCTTGTGTGACTGATATAAAATGTATAATGGTTGAAGTTGATAATTGTGGAGCTTGTAAACAGAAAAGTGGCACTTAAAACATCTCTTGTTTAATTTCAGAAAGTTGTGGATCAAGGCTAAGGTCCTGATTCTGCAAAAATAGAGCCCTATTATTAGACTCCTGCATCTGCACGGAGCACCACTGCTGGTAGAACACTTATATGCAGCTATGTAGCTTAGTTTTGCAATTGTTAAAACGGTTTGTGTCAGCTCAGCAGTCAGTAACATTTTCCAGTGGTCGGCCAGAGTGACCCAGGTCAGGTCCAAGGCAGGCTGACACCAGGACCTGGCCACCACTGCTTCTCTCTACTGCCTCTTCTCCATGTCCCTACAGCCACAGCAGCACAGGCAAAGCCCCCACTGCCAAATGCTGCCAAACCCAGATCCAGCTACAGGCCAGGCCATAGGTTACTAACCATTGGTTTATATGATTTTCAGGCCAAGGGACAATTTCTGGCCTAAATTGTCTTCATTTTGCTTTGCAAATCCTTTGGAAAACCTCATAAATCACAGTTTTTAAAAATATTTTGATGATCGCTCACTACTTGAAGGGAAAAGGTATAGTAAGGTAGGTTTGAACACTTGCCATTATGATATTACATAGTATGTACTTCCTTATTTGACTTGTGACTTGAATTCTCTTTTGTCCTTAAATTTAGATGACATTCCAGTTCAGTTTTTGGGATAAATTTCGAGATTTGGGAAACCTGTCACCCACTGCCTTCTCCAACCTGGTGTGTCTGTTAGTTCATGTGTTAAAGACAAAATCACTCTCCATTTCAGTCCTCAAGGTCAGTATATTCTGTCTTTAAAGTATTTTTGCACTTTGAGCACACTTTTACTTTGATGGAAGATGTGTTGTTGTTATCACTGGTTGCTGTCCAGCGAGTGTTACAGCTTTGGTGGTTATCCAGTTTTGATTATTTCAGGCTTCCAAGTTAAGCTGAACTTTTCTCTGCCTGCTGAAATTTACCCAGTTGTCAAACTGCCCTGAACTACCTTCATGCAAATGTTGTAATGGCCAAACTGAGAAGCTTGGCTCAGTAGTTAAGACACTAGCTTTGGGGCTCATGAAGCCTGGGTTCAGTGTACAGTTGTGCCACAGATTTCCTGAGAGACTGATGAAGTCACTTGTCTCCATTCCCCATCTGTAAAATGGGGGTAACGATAATATCTAGTGCTTTCATCCATAGATTCGCAGCACTTTACAATGCATCATTATGCCTATCTTACAGATGTGGAAATTGAGGTCCAGAGAGGCACCTAAAGTTACTCTGAAGGCCAGTGGCAGAACAGGGAATTACAACCAAGGTCTTAGCCCAGTGCACTGACCATTAGGAGATGCTCCCTTTTGTGATGCCATGAGGATAAATTTGTTAAGAGGAACTCGGGATGGGGCATCTGGAAAGTCTTTAAAATCAGTACCCTGAAGACAGAATTTAGGCTATTGTAGACAGGAATAGTGTTTTTATGGGAAATCAGAGTTGAAGACAATACATGTTAGTTTGTTTTTTCTCCCATATTTATATTGCCTACATTAGAGGTAGTTAACCTTCCTTCATGTACAGAGCAGGCTAGTTGAGTTTCAAACTGCTTTGCTTCAAAAGGGCGCATGGCTTTTATCATGCTAGAAGCCAGCAGTGAGGTTTGAGGCTGTTACTAACTAGTTGGGAATATTTTGTTCCTTTGGAGAAGGCAGGATGCCAAAACCATAGTTTCATAGTTGGTAGGGTCGGAAGTGACCTGAGCAGATCATCAAGTCCACCCTCCTGCCATGGGCAGGGAAGAAAGAAAGCTGGGGCCAAACGACCCCAGCCAGGAGATTTTCTAGCCTCCTTTTGAAGACCCCCCAGGGTAAGAGCAAGCACCACTTCCCTTGGAAGTTGATTCCAGCTCCTAGCCACCCTGACTGTGAAGTACTGCCTCCTGATACGTAGCCTGAATCTACTGTCGGTCAATTTATGGCCGTTATTCCTTGTTACTCCCGGTAGTGCTCAGGGGGAACAGGGACTCTCCCATAGCCTGCTAGCCCCCCTTGGCCAGTTTGTAGATGGCCACCAGATCCCCCCCCTCAGCCTTCTCTTGTGGAGGCTGAACAGGTTCAGGACCCGTAGCCTCCGCTCATAGGGCCTGCCTTGCTGCCCCCGATCATGCAAATGGCCCTCCTCTGGACCTTCTCGATGCTGTCCACATCCCTCCTGAAGTGCGGCGCCCAGAACTGGACACAGTACTCCAACTGCAGCCTGACCACTTAAACATGGCTTTAGGTCTTGACGATATCTATGGATTCTGTTGACTGTGCTAATTACTGCCTTGATGTTGAATCTTCCATTTTGGAGTAAAATTACTGAGATGGCTGTTCAGGGAGCAAAGTAATGACCTGCATTCCAAACGTCTTCAAGGTTTGTCTACAGAGTTGTGTCCCATTACTTATCCTCAGTGAGGGGTGAATACACTGTTTACTGATATAGCTACACTCAGTATATTTCCTAGTTAGGATGCAGTTTATTCCACTTCCTGTTCAGAATAATACTGTACTGGGATAATCACTTTTATACCAAAATAACTGCAGCCCACGCTATTAAGGTTGTACTGGTATACTAATATAGTTGAAATTACACAATTGTTGTTAGATGACCCTAAATTCTGGTTATGATAAAACCCTGCTGTATTGCAGGATAAAAAAGTGCTGCCCATGCTGTTGTACTAGCAGTCTTTGGGGCCCCCAGATGGTGAGTTGTTCTCAGATTCTGACTGAACAGGAAGTGTGCTTTGGCTGCTTGCATATGTCAGAGGGGCCTGTCTCCTTGGAAAGATTCATCTGGGTATCTTAGTACTGGCAAATAGGGTGCCCCTCAAGGGTGGCTTTAGAAGATGGTTTTGAGCAATTGCTCCTCCATGCAGTGATCTCTTGTGGCAGATTCAATTAGATTCTGTTGTGTGCAACTCTTGTCCAATGTGTATGTGAAGCCAGTAGGTGTTTTTGAACTGAAGTGTAAGGGATTATTCTTTGTTTTCATCTCCAGTTTCTCAAATTATGCAAGGCTCATTCTTTTGATTTATGATTGGTTTGCTTTTCATCTGTGGTGATCCCAGATGCCACTGGATCACAAACTTAATATGAGTCTGGAGTATGACACAGCTGCTCAAAAGGCAAATGCAATTTTGGGCTGCCTCAATAAAGACATTAGGTGCAAGAAATGGGAAGTGATAGTGATTCTTTACTCAGCACTGATTAGGCATCATCTAGAGTATTATGTGCAGTTTTGGGCTCCACATTTTTAAAAAGGCATGAAAAGTTAGGGTCCAGGGGTGGGTGACAAAAATGGTAAAGGGCTTGGAAGGAAAGTGTTGAAGGAAATAAGCCTATTCAGCTTGTGGAAAAGGCACTTAAGAGGGGACAAGAAACCAATCTTCGAATATATGAAGGAGTGCCATAAAGAAGGAAAACGCTTCCCTCTTGCTGCAGAGAGTAGGACACAGCCCAGTGGCTTGAAGTTGTAGATTTAGATTGGATATCAGGAAAAACTTGTTCACTGTTCGAACGGTGAGGAAGTGAAATAGACTGCCTAGGGAACTCGTGGATTCCCTTTCCTTATCATTGTTCAAAAAGAGGTTTCGTAGCTGGCAGAGTCGGAAGGGACCTGAGCAGATCATCAAATCCGACCCCCTGCCATGGCAGGAAAGAGTACTGGGGTCAAACGCCCCTGGCAAGGTGTTCATCCAGCCTCCTCTTAAAGACCCCCAGGGTAGGAGCCAGCACCACTTCTCTTGGAAGTTGGTGACAGATCCTAGCCGCCCTGACCTCAGGCGCCCTGAGGTGAAGTAGCACCTCCTGATGTCTAGTCTGAATCTACCCTCTGCCAGCTTGTGACCGTTATTTCTTGTTACTCCTGGCAGTGCTCGGGGGAACAGGGACTCTCCCAATGCCTGTTGGTCCCCTCTGACTAGTTTGTAAACGGCCACTAGATCCCCCCTCAGCCTTCTTTTGTGGAGGCTGAATAGGTTCAGGTCCCTTAGCCTGTCCTTGTAGGGCCTGCCCTGCTGACCCTTGATCATGCGAGTGGCCCTCCTCTGGACCCTCTCCACGTTGTCCACATCCCTCCTGAAGTGCGGCGCCCAGGCCTTCCTGACCGCGTCCCCACACTGTCGGCCCATGTTCATTTTGGCATCAATAATGACTCCAAGATCCTTCTCTGCCTCTGCACTGACGAGAAGGGAGTTCCCCAGCCTGTAGGTGTGCTGCTGGTTCCTCCTCCCCAGGTGCAGTACCTTGCACTTGTCAGTGTTGAAACCCATCCTGTTCTCATCTGCCCACCCCTGTAACCTGTCTAGGTCTGATTGAAGCCTGTTCCTCCCTTCTAGCATGCCCACTTCTCCCCACATCTTAGTGTCATCTGCGAATTTGAACAGGGTGCTTTTTACCCCCTCATCGAAGCTGCTGATGAAGATGTTGAACAGTGCAGGCACGAGGAATGAGTCCTGGGGGACCCCACTGCCCACGTCCCTCCAGGTCAAGTAAGACCTGTCCACCACCACTCTGGGTGTGGCCCGCCAGCCAACTAGTGACCCATCTGAATGTGTAGGTATTGACACCACAGTCCCCTAGTTTTTTAATGAGAATGGGGTGAGAGACAGTTTCAAAGACTTTCCTAAAGTCCAGAAAGACTACGACCACTGCTACCCCTGCATCTAAGGATTTTGTGACCTGGTCATAGAAGGCCCCCAGGTTGGTCTGACAGAACCTGCCTCTAATGAACCCGTGTTGGTTGCCCCTAAGCATAACCTCCCCTGCTGGCCCCTCGCAGACATGCGTCAGGATAACTCCCTCAAAAAGCTTCCCAAGGACCAATGTAAGACTGACTGACTGGCCTATAGTTTCCTGGGTCCTCCTCCTTCCCTTTTTTGAAAATGGGAACCACGTTGGCCCTTTTCCAATCCTCTGGTACATCGCCAAAGCACCATTAGTGCGCTCATAAAGCCATGCCAGGGGTCCTGCAATGACCTCTGCTAATCCCCTCAGCACTCTGGGGTGGAGATCGTCAGGACCTGCTGATTTAAATACGTCCAGTCCCTCCAGGAGTTCCCTGACTAGGTCCTCTCTGACCCTAGGCCTAGATGCGCCTCCCCTGGGGCCTACGGGGGTCCCAATGTGGAGGATGACCTGGTCACTGCTCAGAAAAATGGAGGCAAAGAAATTGTTAAATAGGTTAGCTTTGGGGTCTGGTGCGACGACCAGATTTCCTAGCGTGTCCTGCAGAGGCCCCATGTTACCCGGTACCTTCTTTTTACCCTCTATGTATTTAAAAAAGGACTTCTTAAAAAAGGTTGGATAAGCATTAGTCAGGGATCATCTAGGGGTAGCTATACCTATGCTATAGTATGGGTATTTCCTTTGCTTCTGGGCTTTGCTGGTTGCTAGAGGGTTGGGAGGGAATTATTTTTCCTCCTGTCGCTATATTTGTCAGGCTTGTTTTGTGTTTTTTTTTTTCCCTTCCTCAGAAGTTTTGGCTGTGGGCTGTAGGCCAAAGCTGGAGATTTTGACAGGTGCTCTGATGCTGCTGCTGGGACTAAAAACTGGATGTTCCTGACTAGAGGGTCTTTCCCCTGTGCTCAGGGTCAGACCAATTGCCATATTTGGGTTCAGGAAGGAATATTTTACTCCAGAGTCAGATTGGTACAGACAAGGAGGATGGGGGCCATTGCCTCCGCCCTCTCCCTTGGATTTCTTGAGTATTTTTAACAACCCTTGCAGCAGCAGGATGCTGATTGCCCTTGACCTCCTGCTATACCTTTGGTGGCTTAGGATTGTAGTTGTGAGACAAGGTTGATTTGTGTAGTTTTAATAATAAGTTAGACAAGGATGTGTATAGAATGGTTTAGATAAGGATGATCCTGCCTCAGGCAGGGGGTTGGACTAGATTATCTCCAGTGATCCTTGCCAGCTGTATTTTCCTAAGATTCTAGGAAGGATCACAATATTTCTAAATCAAGATGCATCTTCAAGCTTCTAAAAGATGATTCAATAGTTTTAAATGTTTTTTTTTTTCAATCTAATTCTTATTATCTTATTAACTAGGTAATTGAATTCAGTGAACTAGACAAACCCAAAGTCCGTTTCCTGCGGCAAGTGTTAAGTATGCTGTTAATAAAAACAGACTCAGAAGAACTTAGTAACATTTTTGGAAGGTAAGTGATGGGTGGTCTTCCCCGGGAATGCTTAGCGAATAGCTACTGGAAAAATAAAAGGGCTTTGCTTTCTCTGTTACTGTTCTAAACATCTCACTTCTTAGAGAAACTCTTGGGACAGAGGCATGTCTTCCTATATGCTTGTATAGTGCCTCACCCAATGTGATTCCAATTTTGATTGGGGTATCACATGCTATTACAAAATAAAAATGTAGTACAGCACTTGATACAGATTTTGAAATGGTGCATGATTTCAGTGATCAGACTGTCTAGCAAGAACAAGAAAATTGTTGGTGAACACAGCCGATATGCCAGCCAGCTTTAGAGTTCAGTCATGCCACCAAGTTGTTTTGCTACCTCACTTATGCATTGCAAAATGAGAAACTAAGGGGAAGCTAATTTATCAGCATTGTTGCATATTATTTGAAAATCTCCATTTGTCATTTGAGAGGGGTAAGGTTCTTCAGCTGAACACCTTTTAGAGGTAATCAAAATAAATGCCTTAACCCCTCTGAAGTGGCTCTAATCTAGGTCTGATGTGTTTTCTCCCTTTTTGTACAAACCATGAATTGTCTAAAAAGCTTGAATAAATGTACTTGCATCCAAGGCATTAGCTTGGTTACAGCAAGCTTTTAAGGACCCATTTATATTACAGTGTTCAGTGTGGGTCACAGCTAATCGGGTTTCATTACAAGTGTATTTACAGTGCATATAAAACCTTAATTTGTAAGTTATTCTAAAAAAGAACTGTGGCGGGGGGGGCCAAGTGTAATTGAAAATAATGGCACAACACACATGTAATGGAATCAACAGTGATAGTGTCTACTTTTTGGAATTAGATTAGTTTAAGATATCGTAATAGTAATTAATACGTTATTTTTACATTTTTATTTTTTTTTTTAGAGCTACTTAAAAACTGGAATGTCTCCATTGCTGTGCATTTAAAAACCTATTCCAAATGCTATCTGAAATACATGGGGAGTTTCCCGTATATTGCCTTTGCTTTTAATTTTGCCATAACTTATACCTTATGTCAAATCCTGTGAAGTACTTTAAATTCCAAACTGCTTTTGAGAACCAATTGCATGTAAGGTGTCTGGCCAGTTGTTAAATCAGTGTAAGCTTCTACTTGTTGACATGAAAACAAAAAAGTATTTAGCTTTTATTAAGAATTCTTTATTTGGATATTTCCACAAAACCTGCCAGGTGAACAAAAAACTCTTCATAATTTTCATCACCTGGAACATAGGAAATTGGAATTATTCCTGATTTGTTCTCTTTCTCTCTTCAGGTTATCTGACAACCCAAAATTGGGAATGTTGCGTGAAGGTTTGAAGCTCTTCCTCAGTCACTTCTTATTAAAGAACGTTCAAGCGCGCACAACTGCTGAAGAAGCCAGTTTACTAAAAGACAGAGTTGAATTTGTAAGCAGGACTTTGCAAGCAAAGGAATCCAGATTGAAACTATAGTTTTGCTCTTCAACTTTGTATGGAAACGAGGACTGCATAACAATGTTGTGCTTAACTGCAACAGGTCTTTTCTTTCAGAAATCTAAATGCTTGACTTTAAATTGTATTATTACCCTGCAAAGGACCCCAGACTCTGGATATAACAGAGCTGTATCACCCCCAGACAAGAATTACAGTTTTCTGAGAAGGTCACAAAAGGAGGACATTATAAAAAATAATTGTGTGTCTTACTTCACTCGTCTAGTCATCATTTAAGGTTTATCTTCTTCCTTCCCCATTCACCTCCAATGAGTGTAATTCCTAGTACCATTTCACATCTTGGGAGATGGCAAAAATTATTACATTTTACTTAATACTTTATATCAGTCTCCAAATGATACTATCCAGCAAACCCTAGTTTTGTAATTATGGAGAGTTCAGTGTTTGATATTCAAACCTGTTACCTTTTATTTTAAATAATTGTGTAAAATTGAAAAAAGTAAGTAGTGTTTCTGTGTCATATAATGGTCAACCTCCTCTGAGGCTTGTTAATTACTTACTGTAATCAGTTGTAAAGCAAACCACTAGATGGCACAGACACAGGTGAGTCAGTTTTGGAACAGTTCTACATTTTTAAAGAAAATGTGTTTCGTGATTGTATTGACTAATTCAAAGAATTGTTTACCTGCATTGCTGTCAGGGAATGATGTCTCCAACACTTACTTTATAAACCTTGGTGGTTTAGATTGGTTTGAAGAGTTAATTTGCCCAATTATATTGGGCTTAAATAACACAGCATAATTTTATGTTAATATTTTAATCTATAACTGCCTAGTGTATTTGGATCTCATGGTTTCTGAGGCTTGTTTTGCCAACTCCTAGCTTAAAATGTTTCTATGTATTAAATTCTACATGTGCTATAATCAAACTTATTCTCTGTCTTCCAAGAAGAGAATATCTCATTTAGATCCTACTCTTTTTCTTTATCGAGATGCTTGAAGGACTAATATTTTTTTTTCGGTGCATCACCTGATTTCTTGTAGATTAGATGAAGTGTTTCTTAAAATATATGGCAGCTAACAAATGACAGATTAAACCAGATTTTTATGGCTAATTTTGCCCTGTATGATGCATTCTAGCAAACAATATTTGAATAAAACATAATGTCACCAGATTGTATGGACGGCTAGTGAACTAGTTTGAAATAGGTTCCTACTACAGTAACACACAAATCTTAGCAGGCTGAACCTAGCCCATCATCCTGTAGCTGTAACATGCATCGTGACGCTCACTATGGTGAAGTCTGTTGGGTTGCTGGAGCTCAACTAATGAGTTTGGTAGAGACACAGTCCCTGCCCTAAGGAAATCACTGGTTAAACAAGGACATAGTCTTTTTCAAGCTCATCTTAAAACTATCTGTCTGCCCTAAGGGCATTAAAAATCCTGCGGATGACCCATCAGGCCATCATTGCCAGTTCCTGTAGCCAAGAGGGCAGAGTGGACTACCATAGCTAGTCACCTTTAATGTCACAGGTTGAAAGACTAGGTACCTATTTATAAGTAAGCTGACAGGAGGTAGCCTTTGGCATAAGTCAAGAGCAAGGCTCAAGCTGTTGCCTTTAAATCGGCAGCAAGATGCCTTAATATATAAAAGCCTTCGTCTGTCCATCCTTAATGCTTTTATTCGCACTCTGATTGGTTGTTTGAAACAACCAATTGGAGTGCTCCAAGAGTGTTCAGGACAGGAGGTGGCGGCGGTGCACTACCATGACGGTGGTGACAGAGCAGAGTGGGATAGGGGGGGCCAGGCCAGCAATGCTAGCCTCACACCAACCTGGCCTGAGGTGGTGGTAACAGAACGAGGAGGGGCCAGGCCAGCACCACTGGTCTCGCCCCCTCCAGCCCTGCTCCCTGCAGGCAGCAGCAGCACAGGTTGCTGGCTGAGGGGTGCGGAGGAGACAGCGGGGCAAGCCTCCCCCCCTCCCCCCCCCGAGGAGATGGGGGGGGGGGTGGTAGGTGGCGGTTTTCCATCCCTGCCTACCCCCCAGTCATTCATGGGGAGGGGAGGCAGGTGGGCTAGGAGGGGAACAGCACCAGACCCGAAGTGGGGGGAAGCGGGCCTGGCCCTAAAGCGGCAGGGGGGGAAGGTTGGAGGAATGGGCCCAGGCCCAAAGCAGCGGGGGTAGGGAGAGCAGGAGTGGGCCTGGCCCTGAAATCATGGTGGAGGGGGGGAGGTCAGTAATGGGCTTCAGTCTGCGCCTGCGCCGCCCCCCCGGTCATTCTTGATGGGCAATTTGTTAGTGCCTTAATATTTCGTCTGCATTTCTTTAAAAACCCTGTGTCCCTATTTCTGTGAGCAGGCCTGCCCTTAAACTGGTTGCCCCCTTCTCAACATCTAGCTGGAAAGTACTCATTTTGCTCATTTTGTGGTGTTTAATAAAGTGTTTTGGGATCCCTGAAACTATTTTTGAGCATCTGTGATTAGTGTGTGATACCAAGATGTCAAGCTTTCTCATGGGTTTCCCTGATTAAATATTTTTTCCAGTTTAAAAGCTCAAGAGAAATGTTTCATTGTTTCCAGTGCTTGTTGCCCAAGAGTCCAGCTCGAATAGAACAATAAAACTGGGCAGCAGAGAAAAAAGTTGCCAAGAACTGGGCGCAACTAAACAGCATAATGTACACAGGAGGTGCAATGCCACCTGCAGCAGCAGTTGTTCATAGCAATTGGTTCTGTTTTCCTTTATGGAGGGTGAGAGGTAGCAGTGGAAAACCTATATATCAGGACTGGGACTTGAAACTGCCTTTTTTTAATATATGTGTATGAAGGTATATCAGGACTGTGCGAAGCTTCGGTCACTGATTCAATTCAGTGGAGATTCGGCCCAATTTGGCGGCCGAATCTCAATTGAATCAGGAGACCCTTTAATCTCTCCCAATCAAATCGGAACCCTCCGAATCAATTTAGAGAGATTCAATGATTTGGACAGACACAGCTTTAAATGTTTTTTCTACATACCTCAAGGTACCAGGCGGCTTGTGAATGCTGAGATGCTGGGGCAGATGGCGCGTCCCACAGGAGTGGGGGGAGGGGTCCCCAGTACACTCAGCAGCAGATCTGGAAGTGGACCAGAAGCGCTTCTGAGTCACTGTAGGGCACGTGGGGGGCCCTTTCCCCCTAGCTCAGCAACTGGTGCTTCCTGGGTCTGGGGGGGCACCCGGGGTTCCCCTGTGGCCAATTGCCAAACTGAGGAAGAGGTGTGGTGTTGCGGGGGGAGAAGGTGTCTTCTGGTCCACTTCCGGGTCTGCCACTGAACACTGGGGGGGGTGGGGGGAACGACATGCTCCATCTGGCCCACCATCACAGTGTTCACAAGTTGGTACCTCGAGGTATGAAAAAACATAAAGCTGTGTCAATGGCTGAATCACTGATTCTCTGAATCAGCATTGAATCTTCAGATTTGGATTCGGCCGAATCGAATTTGGACAGTGATCCAAATCAACTAATTGAATCTCTGTCCTCGATTTCAGGCTGAATCCAAATCTAATACGTCCCATTTCGTACACCCCTAATAGATAGATAGATGTATCATATTTACTCAAATCCAAGATGAGTCCCCTGTCTTGCTATTCAACCTGGGGAAAATAAAGTCTAGGCTTGAATTTGAGTACCAGCTCAGGACGGGGGCATTGAAGCCGCAGTTGGGGCCAGAGCCTCTGCGTGCTCTTATGTTCTGGGCTAAGTTGGAGCCGAAACTGCTATAAAACTTAAGCAGAGGCTGGGAGGGGACAAATAGCAGGGTGACAGACAACAGGAGGCAAGGGACAAGTAGGAAAGGAGCAAGTGGAGGCAGGCTGCCTGCCCCCATCCCCACACTACCCTTTTCCCTGCAACTTGGCTTCCTGCAGCAGTGTAGCGATGAATTTAAGACAACCTTCCAGTAATGGATTACATGGAAGATTATACAAATACATGAAGATTATAACAAATTCATAACTTTCCCTGTATAGAATGTAATTGTTTGCAGTCATCTTAAATTCAGGCATCTTGGATTCAAGTAAATACGGTAGTATTGCAATAGATAAAACACTGAAAAAGACCTAAAAGAAGCTCAACAACTTTTTTTTTCCCTATTATCTTACCTCAGGCCATTGTCAGTACCTTGTGTATAGAAGGAAAATTAGGGTTAATTAGTAGGGTTCATTTCTGTTCCCTGTTTGTGCAGGTCCTCCATGCAACTGGCGGCAAAAAAAATTCTTCTTCAAGCAGGGAAATATTAGATCCACAAAACTGGCAGGGAAACTTTGGCAGTGGAAGTGCTGATGTCTCACTTCAGTGGGCAAGATTAAGTTGATTCCATCCCTTTAATATGTATGTACTGTCTGTCAAGTAGTGTGATGCAAACCGTTCCCTCAGAAGCAACTGTGCCAAGCCTCAAACCTCAAATTGTAATCGCATAGAGACTGTTGCGGCTGTAAACTGCACAGGACGTAGCAAAGTAGAAAAAGCGCGCTTTAGGCCATGGCAACTGCCTAAAATGTTTTTGCTTTCAGGGGACCTCCCAGGACCACTTTAACATGTTTGTGGTTGAATACATAATAAACTATAAATGAAATGCACATTGCTCCAACTGGAGCCTGCCAGAAGGGCAGGGACAACCTTGCTCTTAGAACAAACTTTAAAATGTCCTCCTTAATCAAAATGTGACAGGCTGTCACTTCCTTGTCCAATTGCTTTCTTTTGCAGTCAGGAGTGAATATCCTTTATTGCCAATGGCAATTGTGCCTAGTGCTTTGTGATTCTAAATATGTTAACTTGCTGCAGTTGCAGGAGGCAAAGCCTTGCAGGTGCTGTTACTGCCTTAAGGGAGACAGCTTAAAAAGTACAATCAGTTTGTATTTGTATAATTGAAGCTTGCTTTTTATTCGCTATTATTCATCCTAAACAATTAGTGCATCTTGCCTCTTATCATACAGTCATTTATCTCAGCCAGAACCTGTTTTTTTTCTGCCTACAACTTCAGGATTAGTCCGACATATTTGATTGCTGTGGCCTCCTCTAAAAATCATTCGGGAAGTAAGATTTTCCTGGGGGAAACTGAAATATGTTGCCACTTCACAGTGGTTCATGGTACATTTGATAGATAGCATCTGAAGAAGTGTACTTGGGTTCACAAAAGCTTGTGATATGTATATATCTTATTTAGTTACTCTATAACGCTAGGGCCAGAAATTACGCATAAGCTGGTATAAGTGCTTGGAAACCAGTTCAAATCTGTAACGCAGCAGTTCAGTGCACATAAACCACTTTCAAAATGGCCCAAACCGGTTTAAGATAACCTGGATGGATGTAGCATCAGACTTGACTGATTTAGGTTAAATTGTTTTATTGAACTTCTATCCCACATCCCCTCCAGATTCAAGTAGCTCACAGTCCCCCAACATCCCAAGATGCTTTGCACACACACCCCCTCACAGGGTGGGTGGGCTAGCCTTGGCCCAAGCTGTCTACTTCAGCCAAGCAGGAAGGCACGCTCTTAACACCCCGCCGGCTCCTGGCCTGGGCCACTGTCTGCGCACGTGGCTGCATTTCCAAATCAAAAGTGAATGTCTGGTCACTTGTTTATTGGTTCAATCTATACAGCTTAGACTAGCCTGTGAAGATTGAATCAAGTCAGCCTCAGGCTTTTTGACTGTCTGTACTTAACCTAAAGCTGTGCATCTTTTATGCGTATTCTTTCCCTGCCTTCATGGCACAATTGCCTAATAACAACTTGATTAAGCCAAATGTTTGTACTGTAAATTGAAAGGAAGAAAAATTGATTTAAAAGTTGCAGGATGTAGGTACCACCTCTTAACCCCTGTGTGTTGCATTTGTTTTCACCAATGTTTTCCATTAACCCAGGAACCAGTTTTCCAGCGAGCCTGCTCTGATCTGCTAGAGTGGCTTTGGCAGGCTGCTTCATTTACACATCCAGGCATGCCAACATATTTTTGACCCTGTGTGTGCTGTCAGACCTGTATTTTGGTGTTATCCTGGGTATATACAGCAGTTTGGCAAAGGAAAATGCAGAATAATAAATTAAGACCATTTTTCTTTTCTGCAGGGAACAACTCATTGTCATCAGCAAAGCTAGTTGTGCCAATGTTCTTCATAGCAGTGTTGTCTGTACTATTAAAATGTAACTGCAGCAAGTGAAAATGCTGGCAAGTGGCTTTTTTCAAAACTGGACACTAAAGAAGGTCTGCTATAGAAGTTATACAGCTGTCCAACACCTTTGTGCCTCACTATACATCACAGACTAAACCTTTGCAATTTTTTTAGTGTTACAGCTTTCAGAGATGAGGAAAACCCAACAGGTGTTAGTCTCTCGGCCAAGCTGCTTGAGAATGTCCTGCTTTCTAATGCAAAAAAATGCCTTTTTTGTGCTTTTTGCTTTTTTTTAAGCTCCCCCCGCCCCCGCATTTACTCTGTGAATGAAGCAAGAGAAAATACTGTATATTGGAAAACCATGCAGCTACAGTTGTAATTTTAATTCTTACACCTCACAGGCTAATGGAAAATACAGGGTGATTTGCCTTAGATGGATTTTAGTCACAAGTATGATGTTTGATTATTAGATATATTACAAAACATTTCAATCCTTCAAACTAGGTAGTATAATCTACAATGAGCCATTATCACCATTTCAGCTTTTTTTACCTGGACAATGAGGTTTTAAACCCTTTCTCTGGTTTTTGTATCAAAATTAACAGGGCAATAAAATCTGTTTTTCAGCTTTGGCCAGAGTGTTTCACTGATAAATCACATGCAAATCCTTTTGGCAGGGTTTTACACTGCACCTGAGTAGCCTGAGTTCTTGCTGGGCTTTTCAACTGTGCAGGACAATGGAAACATGCACAACAGGGGTGATGAGTTGATATCAATTCTGTTCTGGAAGTACATGTGTGGGTAGGACTACTTGAGGAATGCTCTAGCAAAGGTGTGCAACTCAATACTACGCTTAACACACATCTGGGATAGTTTTATTTGTATTGTTCTTCAAGTGAATTTACCATGAAAGTTAGTCTGGAAGAAAAGCTGCTAAGTTGTGTGACAATGATTTCAGGTTAATATATATAATTGCATTAAACTGTTAAATATTCAGAGTAATATACTTGTGTGTATATATAATCATTGTGTCACAATGATTTCAGGTTAATATAATATATAGTCAGCTACGTGTGTGTGTTACACACACACACACACACGTAGCTGACTATATGCCTTGTGCACTGGAATCTGTACACAGTCTTTTGAGGCTACAGATGACCAGATTACATAGTCTTTTGCCTTAATAAGATCATTTGATCTTTATAAAAACTTTTTTCCATGAGTTGAGTGTAGCTTTGGCCACATTTTTCAATACTGGACTGATATCAAGAAGTTGTTGATACAGAAATGACTCTTTTACCATATGTCACTTTTCATGATTTCATCTCCTGAAGGAACTTTCCTTTGCCCTCCAATAAAGCTTAGTTTACCTTAAGGTCTGCAGGCATATGAAGCACAGCT